GCTCGCCTTGTTGCTGGGTCTGAGTCTGCGTCTGTCTGTCCTCCGTCCGTCGGGGGTGAGTGTGCTCTTGGCACGGACGTCCTTGAGGACAGGCAGGAGGACTTTGACTCTCTCGCGGCTGCTGTACCTCATCTCGTGGCCTCGTTGCTTGCCCCTGAGGGAGACCCGGATGCACTAGACATCCCCACTCCGCGCACTTACGCAGAGGCGATCTCGGGTCCCTACTCCTCTCAGTGGCAGACAGCCATGGACGCAGAGATGGCATCCTGGAAGTCCACAGGCACCTACGTCGACGAGGTTCCCCCTCCTGGGGCGAACATCGTCGATGGCATGTGGATTTTCAGGGTGAAGCGGCCGCCAGGTTCTCCGCCTGTCTTCAAGGCTCGTTACGTTGCTAGAGGCTTCAGTCAGCGTCAGGGGGTCGACTTCTTCCAGACCTTCTCCCCCACCCCGAAGATGACCACTCTTCGGGTTCTGCTGCACGTTGCTGCTCAGCGTGACTACGAGCTTCACTCTCTTGACTTCAGCACAGCGTTCCTGCAGGGCAGCCTGCACGAGGAGATCTGGCTGCGCCGCCCACCTGGCTTTACTGGGTCGTTTCCTCCTGGTACCCAGTGGAGCCTCCGCCGGCCAGTCTACGGTCTCCGCCAGGCGCCACGCGAGTGGCACGACACACTGAGGACTACACTTGCGGCTCTTGGGTTCGCGCCGTCTACTGCTGACCCGTCGCTGTTTCTGCGCACAGACACGTCGCTGCCGCCGTTCTACATTCTCGTGTACGTCGACGACTTGGTCTTTGCTACTGCTGACACTGAGGCACTCGCTCGTGTGAAGTCGGAGCTGCAGAAGAGACACACCTGCACTGACCTGGGTGAGCTGCGTAGCTACCTTGGCTTGCAGATCACCCGGGACAGAGCTCGCCGCACCATCACCCTGACTCAGTCACACATGGTGCAGCAGGTCCTTCAGCGCTTTGGCTTCCAGTTCTCCTCACCACAGGCCACACCTCTGGCTACCAGCCACTCGCTCTCAGCTCCACCTCCGGACGAGTCCGTAGAGCCGAGTGGCCCGTACCCAGAGCTTGTGGGCTGCCTCATGTACCTGATGACTTGCACGCGACCTGACCTCGCGTACCCTCTTAGCATCCTTGCTCGTTACGTTGCACCTGGGAGACACAGGCGAGAGCACTGGGAGGCTGCTAAGAGGGTGCTGCGCTACTTGTGCAGTACATCAGGCATGGGGCTGGTGCTTGGAGGACGCGACAGAGTTGTCCTCACTGGCCACTCGGACGCTTCTTGGGTGGACGACCTGGCTACGCAGCGGTCGTCACAGGGTTACACCTTCAGCCTTGGCTCTGGTTCTGTCTCGTGGCGGTCCACCCGCTCTTCCTCTGTTCTCGGCTCTAGTTGTGAGGCTGAGATCTACGCCACAGCCATGGCTGCACAGGAGCTACGCTGGCTCACCTACCTGCTGACTGACTTGGGAGAGCGGCCTAGTTCTCCTCCAGTTCTGTACGGTGACAACAAGGCGGCTCTTGCCTTGTGTCAGGAGCACAGACTGGAGCACAGGACGAAGCACATTGCTCTTCGCTACTTTCTTGCTCGAGAGCTTCAGCAGCGCGGTCAGCTTCGGCTTGTGTACGTGGACTCGAAGGCCAACACTGCTGATATCTTCACCAAGGCGCTCCCGCCTAGTGATCATCAGCGGCACTGTTCTTCTTTAGGCCTTGTGTCCAAGTTTTGCTCACTTGCTCACTGCTTGACATTCTTTGTACTGTACTTTATATATATCTTGTTACTTGCTTGCTAGGTTTTGATCACTGTGTTGTTTGTCTTGTACTATATCTAGCACTGCATGTGAATTGGCCTTGTGGCCTTTACTTGTGCTCGGAGCGTGGTGACGTTGTGATCCACCCTGGGCTTTGCTTTGCTTTGCTGGACTGGTCTTGTGACCCTTTGTTCTCCCCCACTTTGCCTATGGGGGTGTGTTAAACTGTATTATGCTTGTAGGCTGTAGTGGGGTAGCCAATATGGGGTACAACCCCAACTAGGGTTTCATATTTGTACCAAAACTTCTGCTAGTTCATTCATTCTTGCCTAGTTACTTTGATACATGGGACTGGGCAAAACGTAGATCCTAAAGAGTCCACGTGCAGAAAGAAATAAAGAAGATTTACATTTGTGTTCGAAAATTACTTACTTTGCAAGTACTATGTACGATGAGCTGCTCAACAGGTTAAGATCCAAAAACTGTATGTAGATCTGAAAAACAGCCAACAAAAAAACAAACAGACATAATTAATTTGTGCTTCAAAACAAACGCGCACGTATTTACAACACATACAAAATAACATTTGCCTTGTTCACTTGCTTGAAGTACCAAGATAAAAAGACAACAGCAAATCAAGCAACTTAAATAATATCAGGTAAAACATCTTACAATACAAACAAAACACACTGAACATCAAAGAAATGATAACGTTGATAAATCTTCACACAAAGATATTACCTCTACAGTTTTCAATGAGAAACATCAACCATATAAGAAGGAAAAAGAAAGCAAAGAAGATGGGGTAATGCTATGAACGTATTGTTTTTGTTGATACCGTAGCAACTATTCAACAAATCAAAATGCCACTCTGTATGTAACGAAAAACGAGAAAACCATGGTATAACAAATCATTGAGTTATTTGGAACAGAAAGAATAAACAGAAGCTAATACAATAGATAATAGCAGCTTTGAAAAAACACAAGATTTGTACCTTCAGATGATGAAAATCAGAGACCAGTCTTCACAAAAGACAATATTGGAAGCCGGTAGCTGTCATCATAACAAACAACATGCAACAGAAAAACAGCAAACAGAATGAACACCAACACATTCAATAAAGTAGAGACACTTGCATAGCTACATTGGCGAACATTATGCATATTATCATGAAAAAATATTGAAGTAAAGAAACGTAGCAGATGATTAAATTATGAAAATAATATGCTATACAATTCGAACATCAAAATAACGATAACCATATTCTTCAAACATTACCTTTAAGGATTCCAAGGAGAAACTTCAACTGCAAAAGAGGAGAATCCAAGAGCCTAAACAAAAACAGAGAGACAGTAAAAAAGAGTAGAGAATATGGAGCAATACTATGAATATAGATCTAATGTTGATAGCAGCAGTTCAAAGAACATTCTCAATTTTAGGTAGAATTATACAAGCATGAACAAGACATGCATTATTGGAAACAAAAAGAACAAACAAATGTAAAGACAGTAAGTGAAAACACAAAAGTGTGTACCTTCAGATGATCAGAATGAAATATCTGCCTTCTTGTAAGAGAATAGTGGGTCCCTGTGGTTGTAGACCCAACAGCAACAAGAAACAAAAAGATTAACTAACAGGAAAAAAACAACTGATACAACAAAGTAGAAAATAAGAAACATGAAAGGAGAAAGTTAAGGAGCACGAATGAAAATGAAGGCAAAGATATGAGAACATAACTTGATAGAGGGACCGTATGTAGGGTTCGATAACAAAAGGGGTACTGGAAGTATAGACTAACACTTACCTTGAAGTGATGGAAGGAAATCAGAGAGTGCTGGAAGTATAGACTAACTCACAACGAAAGAGTATGTTGAGAAATGAAGCTGGAAGAATGACAAGTTGAACGAAGAGAATGAAAGTAGATGCTAGCAAAGGCATGAGAAAGTGCTCTAGTTTCATTGTGTGTTTTTTTGTTTCATTCTGTTTCACTTTGCTTCATTCTGTTCCATTCTGTTCCATTCTGTTTCATCGCCTGCCCAACTTTAAAGCACTGAAAGTTGTGAATTTTGTGTTTAGGGCACCATGAACCTTAAACACTGACCCAGAAACGGTCAACATATGACCTAAACATCATTGCTTTTGGCAAAAAAAAAAAGTTCCTTCAAATTATTGCTTGAGTTTAGCCAGAAGACCACCCACTGCCTTGCCATTGGGCAAAACGCATTGTCCAATGGCAAAAGGCTCGTTTTTCTGCGCTGGAAACAAACTTGACGTGAAACAAAAGAAACCACTGGCGATTTTATTCATAGCACACAAAAAAACAGAAGAGTCATGTGTCACCACTTACGTTACAGTAAAATCGTGGTGTATTTGGCAGTTATAACCGCATGAAATGACAGGGTTGAGCAATGTCGACAGCTGTAAGAAGAAAATAACTGTAAAAATGATGCCAAAACCGTTAGCAACAAACAAGGCCGTCTCCTCGGGCCATCCCTTGAAAACGCGTTACTGTAGAATCAAAATCGAAATCAAAATCGGGTTAGGGACTGAAAAATCGAATCTTGACTGCTTTCTCTGTAACTTTCGCGGCTACCAGACAAACGGCCCCAGCTGCACGGAAACTGTACAGCGCGAAATTTTCGAAAATTTCGCGCTGCTGACGTCAGCAATCGCTGTTCAAATTTTCCGCGATGCTGACGTCAGCAATCCCTCACGCGCGAAACAAAAACGCGTGACGCCAGCAGCGTCGTCAGAAATTTCCACGCAAATTACTTTCGACGCTGCTGACGTCACTACGTGCTGACGCGTTAAAATCTGCTGACGTCAGCAATTCAATTTTATTATAGTGCTGTCAAATATTTACACATACACAAACGTTTGCGAACTGAAATTGTATGAAACGCAACTACTACATATACACATTATCATCAAAATTTATTAACATATCCTTAACTATGTGTAAAAACATCTGTATTAAAAAATCATTTTAAAACTTGGAAATTACACAATTCACTAAAATCTATTAACAACAAAATTATCAAAGTCGTTTAAATTCAAACGCATGTTACAGCCTGTTGCTTCGCAACCCTAAGACGATTTCGTCGCCTCTTGTTTTTTTTTTTAATATATATATATTATATTGAATGCGCACACCGTACAAGCAAGTGTGAGCGAAACAATAAGCGGTCGTAACCGGGCTTGAGGGGACGGCCTGTCCGCCCCAGATGAGAGTCTACGGGGGATTAAACACCGTGCGGGGGTTGGACCAGATGGACTCGAATTGCTTGGTCCACGTCCACTTCTTATCGTCAGCAACACGGATCCGACTCAGCATTTTCTGCTCCTCCAAAACCGCCGCATGGAAGGCCCCCCCCCGTCCAGCCTTTCGTCTTTTCTGCAACGTATGAAGGCGAGATTTCGAGTAGATTCTCGTGTGCTGTCTGAACGTCATGATGATCTTCCGAAGCACTCGGCGTGCACGAAAACCCTTTTTCCGAAAAACCGCGTCACACCTCTAGACCCATATCTGATGAAGGGAGATGGAAATGAGTGTGGCCTCCGGGAAAGCGGATTTAGTGCCCGCTTTGCGGAACAGAAGGTCCCCCAGTGAGGATGTCGCGCGCGATGGGTTGAGGAGGCGAATGGCGCGCTTCAAAGCCGTCACAACCATTTGAATACGTGGACAATCAAAAAGACAATGCTCCACCGTCTCCTCTGCTGCACGGTACGGGCAGACCGGCTTGCTGCTGAGAAAGGCCAGCCGCTCTCCCACTTGTAGGTTCAGGTTATGTATCCTTGTCAGCAAATCCCTCGGGTGGTTGGGAACGACAAGGGATTTCGTGACACTTGTAACTTTCTCCCAACAGATCCTTCCCCTCCATCTGTCCGCCCATTTCAATCTCCTCTGTGACTCTCCGCACCCAACTTTCACAAGCTTCCTCATCTGCCGCTGCGACACCACCTGCCCGTTCTCGAAAATTGGCAGTTGCAATAACCTCCCCTCTGGCGGTGTTGAGTCAGCCGGGCTCCCCCTAAGGTCTAGCAGAAGTGCTTTCCAGTTGTTGGGAGCGGCTGCGAAGGCCTTCAGCGCCAGTCTTGCCGGCCCTTTACCCCCCAACTCCAGCAACAGAGTCTCCATACTTTTCAGCACCGGCTGTGTACCCTGCTCCATGTCGACCAGGTCGCCTAAAGTCACCTCCCATAGGTTCTCCGCAGCCTGTTGCCCTCCTACCGGTGCGGTCACGCCCACCAATATCCTTCGGTTGAAGACCAGCCTTTCCCGCGCCACCTCTTCTCTGGTGGTCAACTCCGGTAGGGAACAGAGTGGGGATGACATGAAGCTCTTGCATGTCTGCTTCCAACGCTGGCTCCGGCCGTCCCAGTTTTTAAGCAGGTTGTTGTGCGCAACGAAAGAGCCCACACCCATCGGAAGATCTGCGGCACTCATCATCAGGTCCCGCTTCAACACGTTCACTTCCGTGAGCAACAAACCCACTCTCCTGGCCGATAGACAGGTCAGTATAACGGAAGGATCCTGCACCCCGAGACCGCCGTCACGATGCTTTGTGTATAACAGGTCCTTGTTCCAAAGCGTGAAAACCTTCTCCGCCGTTGCTTTATTTCTTGAGACAAAATTGTGAATCAGCTCCTCCAACTCCTTCCAGACCTCTGCTGGGGGGGGATAGACTTGCGCCTGAAAGGCCATGACCGGGTGGATGTAGCTGTTGGCAACAGCGGCTCTTGCCTTGGTGGTAAGATACTTCTGCTTCCACTTCGTCAGCCTTTTTGCAATTTCCTCTAGTGCCTTCTCCCATGTTGGCAGGCCGCTGCCATTCGGGGTCACCCACACGCCGAGCAGTCTCTCCGCCTCATCCGGCTCCGCCCATTTGAAACTCCCCATCGGCTCCTTTTCCAGGTTTGCTCCAAGAGGTAAGATGACCGATTTCCCTTTGTTCGTCGCGAGGCCCGACATTTTCTCAAATTCCTCCAGGATTCCCTCCGCCTGTGTTATCTGTTCCTCCCCTTGCAGTCTGAGGGTGGTGTCGTCAGCGTAGCCCAGGTAGGACAGCCGATGACCCTCCAGACTCAGCCCGAGCTGCCTCCTTTCAACCTCTTGTGCCAACGGCTCCACCGCACACAGGAAAAGATACGGGGCCAGTGGGCAGCCCTGTCTCACGCCGGAGACCACCTCTATGCCGCGCCCGGTCCAATCATTGACTAACAGCTTCGTTGTGGTGTGTGCGTGCAGCCCCTCTATCCAGGCCATGAAACGGGACGGGAAGCCCATATCGCGGAGGGTGTTAAAGAGAAAATATCGCGACACCGAATCGAAAGCCTTCTGGAAGTCAACTAGGAGCAAATACCAGTCCTTGTTCCCGTTTTTTGCCGCGTCAATGATATCCGCTACCAGCGCCACTGCATCAGCGAGCCTTCTCCCGGGAATAAAGCCATACTGCTCCGGGGATATCACCAGGTGAAGAACTCTCTTGATCCTGTCCGCCAGCACCTTCGCCAGGATTTTGTAGGAGAAGTTCAACAACGTGATGGGCCTGTAGTTATTGAGCTGACTCCTGTCCCCCTTCTTATGCAGGAGAATAGTAACTGCTTCTTTCTCTTCATCTGGGAGCTCTGCCGTTGCGGTGAAATCTTTTACTAACGCCATAAAACTGTTGCCGAGCACATCCCAGTGTTCCTCGAAAAGCTCTTTCGGTAAGCCATCCGCACCCGGTGACTTGTTCCTCGCTAGCGACTTAAATGCCGCCTTCACTTCCTCCTCTGTCCATTCTGCTACTAATCCTCCTGCTTCGGCTTCGCAGAGCTTCCGATTCGGCGACCAGTTGGAGAAATCCACCCTTCGATCCTTGCCAAAAAGATTGTGAAAGAAACCCGACGCCGCTTCCAGGATCTGCTTCGAGTCCGATACCGTCCCGCCATCCGTTTGAAGTTCCGTTTGAAGTTCCGTTTCGACCTTTCCGCGCCCTGACGGTCGATGAGAGCGTTTTCGAAGAGACCTCTCCAACAAACTCCACTTTCAATCCGGCCATGAGGTGAAGTCTGTCCCTTCGTGTTGCATTGTAATCCTTGATTTGCGCCTCTCTGACTCCCAGCAGCTCTCTCCGTCTATTGCAGAGTGGGTGAGCCATGACCTCCTGCCTCAACGCGAGCACGGACACGGTAAGGTGCAGGCGAGTGGCTCGAACTCTCTTCCGCTCCTCCGTCATGTAAGATTTAAACCCAGCGCTTAATCTTGCGATCAGCAACTCGTAACTGCGACCGTCCGTTACTTTGAAACTCCGCGTTACCTCCTCAATGATCTTCCTTACTCCCGGTCTATTCAACAAGGCCGCTTGCATCCTCCAGAGGCCCGGACCAGTGTGAATTTTTGTGTCTGTCTTGAGACCAACTTTAATCCCGAAGCCATGATCTGATACTTTCTCAAGCGGAGAGACATTCTTGGCTAGCTCCAGACGAGGAAGGAGGGAGAGTGATATGAGTGCGCGGTCAATGCGAGAGCTTGCCTTCTGCGAGTGGGAGTAGAATGTGTATTAACGTTCTCTAGGGTGGGCTGAGCGGAAAGCGTCAGAAAGATGAAATGTCTTGCACCTGTCATACAGTTTAGCATTTTCGGCGGCTGTTCCCTTTCCAGATGTCTTGTCTAAGTCAGGGTTCTCTATCATGTTAAGGTCACCTATTATGAGCAGGTTCGCGCAGCTGGGAAACTGGTCAACAACCGGGCCCAGTACGTCAGCGACAAAGGATGTTCGCGAGCTTGGGTTGGCTGGGAAGTATACGGCTAAGAGGGTGATGGTAAGGCCAGGGCTATTGATTTCGACTTTAATGATGCGGTTGGAAGGGTGTGTCAGGACATTGGAAAAGGTTAAGGACTGGTTGCTGCTAAGGACGGCTATTCCGCCGGCTCTGGATTGAGGTGATGTGGTTGCTATTGTCTGAAAAAGAGTGGATGACCAGTAAGTATGAGTTGCTGGAATCCGGGTGTCGATTAAGACTACGATATCGGCGGCATCTCTGACCCATTCTGATATCTTGAGCTGCTTGGAGACATTATTAAGGCCATTGACATTGAGACTCGCACAGGTGAGGAGGTGGTTGTGACTCATTTGACCACTATCTGGCGGCCCCTCTGCATCCACAGGCCGGAAAGAACGACTGCACTGGTGAGACTAGCTAAGGCTGAACATCCGACTGCCACCACAAAAGACCAGGTGAGATCTGACTTCAGAGGTTGTGACTTTTTCATGGCGGCAAGGTTGGCCTTGTCGAGGGAGGTCTTTGTGGCAGAGCCCAGCTTCCCCATCTCGATCATGTGCGAGGCAAGCCAGATGTGGTGTAAGGCTGACATGAAACTCTCCCCATGGGCCTTGTTGCATCCAACTTGGGTGCAGAGCCATTCCTCCCGATTGCTTCCCGTGGATATCAGGGCCAGTGCAGGATCGCGGAGGAGAGAAAGGGTCAGCATGGATGCTTTCTGGGAAGCAGCTGCAAGTGTCAAGACAGTTGTCAGTAAGAGGAGAAAGAGGTACGTAAAAGAATATACTGGTGGGCGCCGGAAAAACTTGTGAAATGTCATTACCATTGAGCCGATGCACTTTCCCCAAGGTCAAGTTCTATTTCCCAACATTGTACTGACGCTCTACGGTGAAAACATTATGGTACTTATCATAATGTTGACCCCCGCAGAGAGAGCAGGACAATGATGGGTAGTGAAGCAGGATCTTCCTGGCGCGGTCAGCCGGATCTGCCACCGCATGAATCAGGTTGCGCTGATCACCCTGATGCAGGTAAACCAGTCCTTTCACCACATCAGTGTCCGCGCCGGTGACCGGATGCAGCACACGATGCACATTGGGGCAGCGCGCAAAGGCCGGGCGATTGGTACTCTTTAGCGGGTAAGTCACCAGCCGGTCAATAATCATCTCCAGATCAACCGTAGCAGAGACACCCTTCAGCATCACTTCAACCGCCTGCAATTTACGAGCCTTCTCCCTTGTGAAGCCGGCGTGTTCAGTATGCTGCCAATGAAGCTTGACCAGGTGACCGTTGAGACGCTGATACACCACCTCTTTCCTTGTCACCTTTGCAGCGTCATCAGGTTGAATGAAAGAGAGCTGCAGGCGACAGTAACGCATCTTGGCGATGTATGCAGGCTGCAACACCTGAAACTTCGTTGACGACTGCACATGAGCCGAGAGCTCTGCGTACCAGCCACACTTCATTAGCATTTTGACCGCGTCCATAACACAAACAATCTCCGCATTTAGCGCAAAAGGAATCAGCAGAATGATTGTAGTCCGAAGCCTGGATTCAGTTTCCTTATCCAGATCCACCAGCATCTCATCGTCAGAGTCATCGTCTTCCAGCAGGACCTCGTCATCTCCACCATAAACAGGTATGTCAGCCTTTTCAGCAGCCGAGAGGCCAGATCCACCAGCCACCGCAATGTTGTCTGAGATGTTATCCACCATCTTCCCTGACGACTGGTCGCTTTCCGTCTGCAGAGGAGCATCCAGGACTGGAGCAGGAGCATCAGGAACTGGGTTGACACTGTTAGCAGAAGGCACTTCAACCGTGGCCTGGAGCGTGATCCCTTGGGGTGAGCCATAGTGCGATGATGAAGTTCAAGCTGCGAGCTGACCAAGAACTTGGCAGTGATGAAGGTAGAGATTGCCTGTAATGCCTGATGACTGAGCACATCCTTGTAAAATAGCTGAGATGACCTGGCACTGATGAAGCGCAGCAAGGGTTGTTGGGATGTTCTCGAGATCTGGATCTCGAGGTTGTATCTTGTAATAGTTGGAATGAGTGTAATGTTAGATCGAAGCGTTAAGGACCTCGTTGATAGACACCACGTTGATGGAGAAACTCGTAACCTTGGGAATGTCAGGTGGATAGCAGAAAATGGTGTCTCGTAACTGGAAGTATCAATGTCAGCATGAATGACCGATAATCCATTGTGAAAGTTACGGACTAAACCAGTAGATGTATCTGTTGTCCGAAAAGAAAGACATTGTAACGTGGTTGTGAGCTCCGGGGGTCGCGGTAGAATCCATGGCTGCCTGAAGGCGGACAGCTCCATGGTCAGGAGCTCCATGAAAAAAGAGACTAGTGATGTGTTTGGTGAGCGGCTTTGAACGGACATCCTCTGTATTAGTGGCTCACAGAAACCTCTAAAATAATGGATTCATGGTATACTTCTATGGAATACGCTACACAGAATAATCTAAGCAATATCAACAACAATCAACCCACCATGGCCCCCGCGTAGATCTCAGCCTCACAACTGGAGCTGAGAACAGAAGACGAGCAGGTAGACCTCCTAGAAACTGAACCAAAGCCAAGGTTGAAGGTGTACGACCGCTGAGTAGCCTGGTCGTCTGCCCAAGAAGCGTCTGAGTGTCCAGTGAGTACAACTAGGCCCCGTCCTCCAAGCACGAGCCCCATGCCCGATGTACTGCACAAGTAACGCAGCACCCTCCTAGCAGCCCGCCAGTGCTCTGGTCGGTGTCTCCCGGGCACAACGTAGCGCGCCAGGATGCTGAGAGGGTACGCAAGGTCAGGTCATCAGATACATGAGACAACCCACAAGCTCTAGATACAGACCACTCGGCTCTACGGACTCGTCCGAAGGTGGAGCTGAGAGCGAGTGAGATGTAGGCAGAGGAGTGGACTGTGGCAAGGAGAACTGGAAGCCAAAGCGCTGAAGGACCTGGTGCACCATGTGTGACTGAGTCAGGGTGATGGTGCGCCGTGCTTTGTCCCTAGTGATCTGCCAGCCAAGATAGCCGCGCAGCTCACCAAGGCCAGTGCCTCAATGTCAGCAGTAGCAAAGACCAAGTCGTCGACGTACACAAGGATGTAGAACGGCGGCAGGGAAGTGTCGGTCCATAGAAACAGCGACAGGTCAACAGTCGAAGGAGCAAATTCAAGAGCCGCAAGTGTCGTCCTCAGTGTGTCGTGCCACTCACGAGGCGTCTGGCGGAGACCGTAGACTGGCCGCCGGTGGCTCTACTGGGTACCCTCAGGAAACGACCCAGTGAAGTCAGGTGGGCGGCGCAGCCAGATCTCCTCGTGTAGGCTGCCCTGCAAGAAAGCTGTGCTGAAGTCAAGAGAGTGGAGCTCGTAGTCACGCTGTGCTGCAACGTGCAGCAACACCCGAAGAGTGGTCATCTTCGGAGTGGGGGAGAAGGTCTGGAAGAAGTCAACTCTCTGTCATAGACTGAAGCCTCGTGCAACGTAACGCGCCTTGAAGATAGGCGGAGAACCTGGCGGCCGCTTCACCCTGAAAATCCACATGCCATCGACTATGTTCGCCCCAGGTGGGGGAACTGCGTCGACGTAAGTGCCTGTGGACTTCCAGGATGCCATCTCTGCGTCCATGGCTGTCTGCCACTGAGAGGAGTAAGGACCCGTGATCGCCTCTGCATAAGAGCGCGGGGTCGGGATGTCTAGTGCATTCGGGTCTCCCTCAGGGGCAAGCAGCATGGCAGCGAGATGAGGTACAGCAGCCGCAAGACACTCAAGCTCAAATTGTCTGTCCTCAAGGATGTTCGTGCCTAGGGCACACTCACCCCCGACGGACGGAGGACAGTCAGACTCAGACTCGGTAACAAGACTAGCGACATAGTCGAGACGACAGGCAGCAGCAAAGTCAACGAGCTCAGCAACTAAGGCAGACGCAGCAGCTGACTCAAAAGCAGGGTCGCTGACAAGAGTGGCGAGGAGACGCGTGACAGTGGGACTAGCAGCACGAGCACGGTCAGACTCAGGGTCAAGAACGTTAGGAAGAGAGGACGCAGGAGGAGACGGCAGGGGGACACGCTGTGGAACAGAGGAAGGACGAAGTGCCATAGTGTGAGTGCCAAGGACAGGAGGAGGACGCGGACGAGGAAACAAGACGACCAGTGCGAACAACGCAAACAGGCGAGGCAGGACGAGACGCAGGCTCACGATGCTCTATAAGAGAGCCTGTCTGCTCAGTGTAAGGAGAAGGAGCAGGCAGCGGGGAGTCTGGCTGTAACTGCGGCTGCGACTCGTCAGGCGGTGGACACAGTAAGGGAGGAGTAAGGCCAGTAGAACCTAGCGAAGTGCTGAGCCAGGTGGTTGCAAAGACGACGGTGGCGGCGGAACGAAAAACGATCGCTGCGGTGCAGCACCCCCAGCACTAGCACCTCTAGTGCCTCCAGCACTAGTACCTACAGCTCCAACGTCTCTAGCGCTAGCACCTCCAGCTCTAGTAGCTCCAGAACCTCCAGCTCCAGTGCCTTTAGCACCAGTACCTACAGCTCCAACGTCTCCAGCGCCAGCACCTCCAGCTCCAGTAGCTCCAGAACCTCCCAATCTAGCGCCTCCAGCACCAGTACCTCTAGCAGCTCCAGAACCTAGAGCTCCGTCGCCTCCAGCACCAGTGCCTTCAGCTCTAGCAGCTCCAAAACCTACAGCTCCAACGCCTCCGTCACCAGTACCTCCAGCACTAGCACCTCCAGCACCAGCACCTCAAGTGCCAGTACGCGAGCGGCACCGCCGAAGATACCATTCACGAAGCTGCTGTGGCGAGAAAGTCTCCTGTCGACGAGACTGCTGCTGCTGTACGTCCTCAGAGCCACAAGCAGTGGTACCAACGACCCCACCGCCACTAGGACGCTCAGCACCCTCAGAACCAGCACCCCCAGACTCAGCACCCCCAGAACCAGTACTGCCAGAGGCGTCTCCAGCAGCGTCCGCACCCCCAGGGTCACCACCCCCAGCAGCACCAGAGTCGACAGCAACCGGCTGCAGAGGCGGCGAAGACGGTCGCGGCGGGAAACCCGGAGGGGTCTCCAAGCGAGGTGAGCGGTGAGTGGTTGCTGTGTCGTCAGCAGCAACGTCACCCCCCTCAGCTGGGCCAGAGGTGTCACAGGTGAACTCCAAAGGCTCAACGAAGGGGGGTGGGTCCACCAGAGACACACCTAAGGGAGCAGGACCTGGAGGGGGGAGGGGGTCTACCTGGGGAGGACCTGGAGTGAGGAAGAGCGGCGGAGGGGGGAGCGGGGAAGTGCGGAAAGGAAAGAGACGGTAGAAGGAAACCGACTCGTCAAAGGTGACGTCCTGAGAGAACAGGATGCGACGCAAGGCTGGGTGGTAAAACTGCCAGCCAGGCGCGTCTGTGGGAAAGCCAAGAAAGACGCAAGGATAGGCGCGAGAAGAGAGCTTATCCGCGGAGGTATCACGAACAAGGGCATGTGAATCCCAGACCCGAAACGCCGTGACGCATCGCCAACCTTCCCCGTCCAACGCAGTGTAGGCGAGGTCTCCGGCACGGAGACACGGGGCCAGAGGTTGAGCTGATGCGCGGCGTATCGGACCGCAAACGGCCACAGAAAATGGGGTGTCAAACATTGTATGTTTATATTGTGTAGGCTATAGTGGGTTTAGCCTTAGAGGGTACACAAACTTAGGGTTTCCTACTTGTACCCAACTTCCTGCTAGTTCATCCATTCTCGTTCTATTCTAAGATTCTAACATGGTATCACGAGCCTAGGTTGCTACCTAGGACCGCTTTCTACAATGGGCCCACTATTCCGCTAGAAGCGCCCTCGTGCGCCCTACCCTACGTGCGCCCTCGTGCGCCTTTCTCTGCTAGTGCGCCTTCGTGCGCCCTCGTGCGCCCTCGTGCGCCCTCGTGCGCCCTCGTACGTCCTCGTGCGCCTTCGTGCGCCCTCGTACGCCCTCGTGCGCCCTCGTGCGCCCTCGAGCCGCCCCTGCAGGTCCGTCAGGCCCCCGAGCCGCCTCTGCAGACCCGTCAGGCCCCCCCCGAGCCGCCTCTGCAGGCCCGTCACGCCCGAGAGCCGCCCCTGCAGACCCGTCAGGCCCGCGCGCAGCCTCTGCCCGACCGCGCGCCGCCTCTGCAGGCTCTCGCCGCCCACCGCGTCGCCCTGTCCGCGGCGTCGTCGTCGCCTGCCCGCGGCGTCGTCGCCTGCCCGCGACGCAGCCCCTGCCCGCGGCGTCGTCGCCTGCCCGCGACGCAGCCCCTGCCCGCGGCGTCGTCGCCTGCCCGCGACGCAGCCCCTGCCCGCGGCGTCGTCGCCTGCCCACGGCGTCGTCGCCTGCCCGCGGCGTCGTCGCCTGCCCGCGGCGTCGTCGCCTGCCCGCGACGCAGCCCCTGCCCGCGGCGTCGTCGCCTGCCCGCGGCGTCGCCACCTGCCCGCCGCGTCGCCCTGCCCGCGGCGTCGCCACCTGCCCGCCGCGTCGCCCTGCCCGCGGCGTCGCCACCTGCCCGTGGAGCCGCCCCTGGAGCCGCCCGCCACTGCAGTAGCAGCCCCTGGAGCCGCCCGCCACTACAGCAGCCGCCCCTGGAGCCGCCCGCCACTGCAGCAGCAGCCCCTGGAGCCGCCCGCCACTGCAGCAGCAGCCCCTGGAGCCGCCCGCCACTGCAGCAGCAGCCCCTGGAGCCGCCCGCCACTGCAGCAGCCGCCCCTGGAGCCGCCCGCCACTGCAGCAGCCGCCCCTGGAGCCGCCCGCCACTGCAGCAGCCGCCCCTGGAGCAGCCCGCACCTGCAGCAGCCGCCCCTGGAGCAGCCTGCACCTGCAGCAGCCGCCCCTGGAGCAGCCCGCACCTGCAGCAGCCGCCCCAGGCACCTGGAGCAGCTGCCGTCGCGGCCCGGCCTCGCCCTGCAGCAGCTGCCGCGGAGCTCCCTGCTGCGGCCCGGCCCCGCCCTGCAGTTGTAGCGGCCCCGCGGTCGCCACCGTCTTGCGCCTGCCGCGCCGACCACTGGTGAGCATTGCCCTGCCAGCACTGCTACTGCTGCTACTGCCTTTTCTACTCCCACTGCTACTGCTCCTGCTGTTACTGCTGTTACTGCCGCTACTGCTGCTACTGCTGCTCCTGGCGAGGCCAGATGCAGCTCCAGGGCCGTGCGCGTGAGTCCCTCACGCCCCAGCAGCTTCGTGAGTGGTACGCTAGTTGGGGCTGTCGGGGTGGCCGTAGTGGTAGTCGCTCTGGAGTGGGCCGGTCGGGAGCTTCTGGTAGTGGACAGGTGCAGCTGCCGTGTTCTCTTTCGCCCCAGCAGCTTCGTGCGTGGTACGCCAGTTGGGGCTGTCGGGGTGGCCGTAGTGGTAGTCGCTCTGGAGTGGGTCGGTCGGGAGCTTCTGGTAGTGGACAGGTGCAGCTGCCGTGTCCTCTTTCACCCCAGCAGCTTCGTGAGTGGTACGCCAGTTGGGGCTGTCGGGGTGGCCGTAGTGGTAGTCGCTCTGGAGTGGGTCGGTCGGGAGCTTCTGGTGATGGACAGGTGCAGCTGCCGTGTCCTGTGAGTGAGGCTGCCGCTCTAGGTGCTAGTGCGGCTGCTACCCCAGGTGCTGGTGAGGCTGCTGCTCTAGGTGCTCGTGAGTCTGCGCCCCCTGGTACTGAGTCGACTGAGGCACTGCACACCTTCACTCTGGACTCAGGTGCTTCTCGCTGTTTCTTTCGTGACCGCACTGCCCTTGAGCCGCTTGCTCGGCCAGTTGCTGTCTCCCTCGCTGACCCCTCTGGGGGTCCGGTCATTGCGACCTCCTCCACTGTCCTTCCTTGTCCTGCGGTCCCGTCGGGCACACTGTCAGGTCTCCACCTCCCCTCGTTCTCTACGAACTTGGTGGCGGGTTGTGCGCTCCAGGACGGAGGTGTTCACCAGTTCACCCCTGCCTACGAGCGCGTGACACACTGCACGTGTGCTCGGACGGGCCGTCACCTGGCTACCTTCACTCGGCAGCTGGGGTCGGACCTGTACACACTGACCACTGAGTCCCCTCAGGTAGCTGCGTCTGCGTCTGCGTCTGCGTCAGGTCAGCTGTCGGCCCCCTGCTCGTGTCGCTCTCTGGCGCATGAGACCGTCCTCTGGCACCACCGACTTGGCCACCCGTCTGTGCAGCGCCTTCGTGCCATGCACTCCCGGTACCTTGTCTCTGGTCTTCCCAGGGTCCTCCCTCCCCTCCCACCCTCGCCTGCTCCTCCCTGTCTTCCCTGTGTCGAGGGGCGGCAGCGCGCCGCTCCTCACTCCTCCTCGTTTCCCCCGACGACTGCTCCCTTGCAGACGCTCCACATGGACGTGTGGGGCCCAGCCCGCGTCCGTGGTCAGGGTCAGGAGAGGTACTTCCTGATAGTTGTTGACGACTACTCGCGCTACACCACGGTCTTCCCCTTGCGCACCAAGGGTGAGGTCCCTGATGTTTTGATCCCTTGGATCCGCAGAGCCCGTCTCCAGCTCAGCGAGCGTTTCCACTCGGACTTTCCTGTCCTGCGCTTGCACTCTGACAGAGGTGGTGAGTTCTCCTCCGACCTCTTGGCAGCCTACTGTGCTGAGCACGGCATTGAGCAGTCGTTCACGCTTCCTGCCTCTCCACAGCAGAATGGGGTTGCGGAGCGCCGCATTGGCCTGGTCATGGAGGTCGCCCGTACCTCCTTGATCCATGCGGCTGCCCCCCACTTTCTGTGGCCGTTTGCGGTCCGGTACGCTGCGCATCAGCTCAACCTCTGGCCCCGTGTCTCCTTGCTGGAGACCTCGCCCACACTGCTGTGGACGGGGGAGGTTGGCGATGCGTCGCGTTTCCGGGTCTGGGGATCTCGAGCTTTTGTCCGCGATACGTCCGCGGACAAGCTCTCCTCCCGCGCTGTTCCTTGTGTCTTCCTTGGCTTTGTCCCAGACGCGCCTGGTTGGCAGTTTTACCACGCCACCTCGCGCCGGGTCCTGCCCTCTCAGGACGTCACTTTTGACGAGTCCGTCCCCTACTACCGCCTCTTCCCCTACCGCACTGCCCCGCTCCCCCCCCCCGCCTCTCTTCCTCGCGCCAGGTGCTGCTGTAGTAGACCCCCTCCCCCCTCAGGGTGCCGCTCCCTCAGGTGTGTCCTAGGTAGACCCGGTTGAGCCTGTTGAGGTAGCTGTTGACTCTCGTCCTGCTGCGGGTGCGGAGCCTGGGGGTGCGGAGCCTGGAGGTGCGGAGCCTGGGGGTGCGGAGCCTGGGGGTGCGGCGCCTGGGGGTGCTGAGCCTGGGGGTGCGGCGCCTGGGGGTGCGGAGCCTCGTGGTGTGTGCGGAGTCTGGGGGTGCTGAGCCTGGGGGTGCTGAGCCTGGGAGTGCTGAACCTGGGGGTGTTGAGCCGCTGAGTCCGGAGTCTGGGGGTTCTGAGTCTGGGGGTGCTGAGCCTGGGAGTCCTACACCTGGAGGATCCCTCTCCTCGGAGCAGCTGCGTGAGTGGTACTCACAGTACTGCAGCCTCCGGAGAGGTGCCTCTGGAGCCAGGAGTACTACTGGGACTGGTGCTAGTGCTTCCCCTCCTAGGCGGGAGCTGCCCTCTCTTGAGCGGATCCGTGAGTGGTACGAGCGGCGCTGCACTCTCCGGAGTGGCGCGCCTGGTGTCGCGGACCCTGGTGCTGGCAGTGCTGGAGCTGCTGGAGGTGCTGCTGCTGGTGCTGCTGGTGCTGGAGCTGCTGGAGGTGCTGCTGCTGGCGCTGCTGGTGTTGGAGCTGCTGCTGGTGCTGCGGACCCGGACGTTGGAGCTGCTACTGGTGCTGAGGACCCGGGCGTTGGAGCTACTGCTGGTACTGCGGACCCGGGCGTTGGAGCTGCTGCTGGTGCTGCGGACCCGGGCGTTGGAGCTGCGGCTAATGCTGCGGACCCGGGTGTTGGAGCTGCTGCTGGTGCTGGAGCTGCTAGCGGTGGTGCTGCTGCTGGTGCTGAGGACCCTGGCGCTGGTGTCTCTGCTTCTGGAGGCGCTGCGCGGCCGCGGCCGTACTTCGTTCCGCTCCTTCAGCAGGTTCTTGGTCAGCCTCCTCCTCCTTGTCCTCCTCCCTCCTTAGCGTGTCCGCCATCTGTCCGCAGTCACAGTCACAGTTACTGCCTGCCTCACCTCTCCCTGGTCCTGCTCCGTACACTGGTCCGACTGGAGGTCTTACTGAGCGTCGTGAGCCTGAGTCTTGTCCTGCGTCGCCGGAGTCTCGTCGTGCGTCGCCTGTCCGTGCTGTTCACACTGGTAGTCGTGTCCCGCGTCAGCGTCTTCCTGCTGTCCCGGGCACTCACCGGATGGCGCTTCGTCCTTCCACTGCTCCGCAGCGTGTCCCACTGCCGTCTCCTCCTGCGTCCTCTCTTCCTGCTCTTGCTGACCCGGAGTCAGACTCCCTTCGTGCTGCCAGTCCTACTGTCACGCGTCTCCTGGCTACTGTTGTCACTGACCCTTCCTTTGAGTCCGCTGCTGCGTCTGCCTTAGTTGCTGAGCTTGTTGACTTTGCTGCCACGTGTCGTCTAGACTACGCCGCTAGCCTAGTTGCTGAGTCTGAGTCTGTCTGTCCTCCGTCCGTCGGGGGTGAGTGTGCTCTTGGCACGGACGTCCTTGAGGACAGGCAGGAGGAGTTTCAGTGCTTTGCTGCTGC